AAGAGCGTGTGGCCAGAGGCCTCAGGTGGGCCCACGAGGGAGCCTCCCCTTTGATTCCAAAGGAAGTCATGTGGGATCTTTGGGAGCTGTGCCCCAAGGATGAAGATCTGCGTGAGATGAGTGGTATGATTTTGTGATTTATAACAAGGAATATATGTGTGGCCTTCATACCCTTTCCTGGCACAGAGCTCCTAAAATCCTTGGAATTTCCTAAGTAGTAAGAGAGAGAAAGCTGTCTTCTGTTTTTGACAATAAGCCCCTTTCAACTACACCTAGTTTTGTAAATGAGGTTACTCTTGAAAAGCACCTGAGAATGGGGCACTGGTTTCCAGGGGAACCAGTCATGTGATTAGAGGGTTGGAGCTTTCAGTGCCCCACCCCCACCCCTACCCTCAACCTCCTGGGAGGGGAGAGGGGCTGGAGGTTGAATTAATCACCAGTGTTCAATGGACTGATGGATCTTGCCTACATAATGAAGCCTCCATAGAAACCCAAAAGGACAGTTTCAGAGAGCTTTCCGTGTTGCTGAACACGTGGAGGTGCTGGGAGGGTGGCGCACCTGGAGAGGGCATGAAGCTTCCATGGTCATACCTCGCCCGGTTTATCTCTTCCATCTGGCTGTTCCTGAGTTGTGTTCTTTATAATAAACTGGTAATCTAGTAAGTAAACTGTTTCCCTGAGTTCAATCACTCTAGCAAATGATTGAACCCAAGGAAGGGGTTGTGGGAACCTCTGATTGATAGCCAGTAGGCCAGAAGCACAAGTGACAACCTGGACTCGAGATTGGTATTTGAGGTAGAGGGCAGTCTGTGGGACAGAACCCTTAACCTGCGGGATCTGATGATACCTCCAGGTAGATAGTGTCGGAATTGAGTTAAATTGTAACACAGAAGTTAAATTGTGTCTACGGAGAATTACTTGGTGTGGGAAACCTCCCTCCTCCATGTTTCACCAGAAATGAAATAGAACTGAGAATGTTGTAGTAAAATAGAGAAGAAACAGAGTTTTCCCTTTCCCCGCGGGCTGTGGGGCCGGCTAGGATTGAAGTCGCCTGGAATTTGCCCTAAGCGTGACTCCAGGACTGTTGGGTATATTGCAGGAATTTGGAGACCGGCTGCACCTTCCCTCTGTGGGCACCTTAGGATTGTGGGAGCTGGTGCCTGGTCACTGTTGGTCTATTATAGAAATGGCCTTTCCCCACAAATCTGGCTGCCTTTGTTTGTGTTGGTGGGGGTAGGGTGACCCAACCCTCAAGGCTCAAGGGGTGGGACCCAGTTTCTCTAGGAGAGAAGTTGAGACCTTGTCAAATTTCTCTCTTCTTATTCAGTCTTCAGGGTAATGGGTCAGCCCAGAGCTGAGATGTTCCTATGAGGGGCACTCATCTCTGCCAAAAATCACAGCCCACAGTCCTGTTGAGTTCTACATACAGACAGCTTTATTGCTGGGGCCTCAGAGGGCCCCAGAGACTAGAGGCTCACCGTCAAAGATCCAGGGGGTTGAGTCCAAACTGGTGGACCTGCCCCTTGTGCCGGGCGTGGAGTCTCAGCACAGTCCCATCCCACTGAGGCTTGACGGCTCTCAGTTTGGCCGAGAGCCAGTCCAGGCTGTCCTGCAGATACCAAGCTTCAGATCTCAGGAAGGGAGAGGGCTGGATGAAGGGTGTCCCAGGTTGGTCTGTAAGCTTTCCTAGCCAGTGTTTTCTCAAAGCTCTTATTCTTAGTGGGTAGGCATGGTTGTATCCCCTTAAGATAGAGCAGAGTTCCCTATGGAGATGCTTCTTTTCCTTCCCCCTGGTCTGTCATTGTCACACTAGCTGGGATTTTGGGGGGGTGCTGGGCACTGGGATGGCTGGCCTTCAGAGGGTAGGGCTTACATGTAAGATTTCCTCACATTTGGCCTCCGTGTCTGCCATGTGGGCCCGAAGCTGAGCCAGAGTTCGGTCCCACTCTCCAAGGGCCTGCACAGCCTCTCTCTGTGTAGCCTCAGCCTCCCTCTGGCACATCTCTGGAGACGGGGACAGAAGGATGAAGGAGGACAGGATGGTGACACTCTAACCTTGAACAGAGTCTCCAAAGGTACCCAAAGAGCAGAACTTGAGTGGGATCATTCCAGAGTTCCCCAGAGCCATCAACTTTCCCACAGTTCCTATAAAGGGCTGAAATATACCATTAAGGTAAAGTAGAGAGAGTGGGCTTGGGACAAGAGATCTGGGTCCCAAATCTGGTTGTCATTTACTACTTGTGTAATGTCTGACATATCTCTCTCTGAGACTCAGTTTCTTCATCTTTAGAGAGAAAATGACCCATATTTCACAGGCTTGCTGTGAGAGTTAAATGTGATCATGTATGGGAAAGCACCTAGTATGCAGGAAGTGCTTCATAAATGCTGACTGCATTTAAATTTGAGATAAGGCAATGATTAGGAAAGGGGCTCAGGGCCTGCATGGTAGATAAGCAGCTCTTGGGTATCTATAGCTAAAATAAAGCTATTTTAGGATAAGAAAATTTGAGGCCAAAATTGTGGAAAATCTGTGCACCATGCTAAAATTTTTCAACTCTATCCCATTACCAAGATGGAAGAGAGCAAAAGCTCATACACACACACACACACACACACACACACACACACACACACACACATACATGTATATGCTTATTTACAAGCTCATTCATTTATTAGCAAATAGTTATTTAGGACCTACCATGCATTAGGCCTTGAAGATAAGGAAATAAGTAAGTTAAACAGTTTCATTTAAGCTTGGTTTCATTATAAAAATCAGCCAAACTAAGAGGGAATATGTTTTGCTTATGGGAGACATGGTGGTGGTGGGGAGTTAGAACTGGATTTGGAGACACCACTGAGACAGGGAAATGGGGTGAGAGACTTAGGTCTTCTTTTTTTTAAAATTAATTAATTAATTAATTTATTTATTTATTTTTGGCTGTGCTGGGTCTTCGTTTCTGTGCGAGGGCTTTCTCTAGTTGCGGCAAGTGGGGTCCACTCTTCATCGCGGTGCGTGGGCCTCTCACTATCGCGGCCTCTCTTGTTGCGGAGCCCAGGCTCCAGATGCGCAGGCTCAGTAGTTGTGGCTCACGGGCCTAGTTGCTCTGAGGCATGTGGGATCCTCCCAGACCAGGGCCTGAACCCACGTCCCCTGTGCTAGCAGGAAGATTATCAACCACTGCGCCACCAGGGAAGCCCCAGGTCTTCTTCTTATAGCTTAAGATTTTTTTTTGCCGTCCTGAACCGTCTGCTGCAATTCTCAATGGTGGGAAGGTCAGTGGGGAAAGCAATATGAGAGCTTAGATTGCAGTCTTCTAGAGAAGAAACATCCTAAATCCACCTCTTCAGTCTGGACAGCAGCAGTGATCCTCCGAGAGAAAGGGCTTCGAGGGTGGGGAAGCCGATCTAACTGCTCCCGAAGGCCCCTCACTTCCTCCTCCAGCTGCCTGCTGTGGGTCTCCATCACCTCCTGCAGGGTGCAGCAGTGATGACTCATCTCTGTGGTGGGGATGGTGGGTGGCCAGGGACCCAGGTGGGGACAGAGGGATGGAGAAAGGATGGGAAGTTGTGAGTGGGGAGGGCTCTGCTTGGTCCAGTGGGGCAGGTGCATAAAGGCCTTTTGGTTCTTCTTGTGGTGATTCTGAGAAGCTGGGGAAGGAGCTAGGAAACAAGGTCCCCTTCCTCCTGCCACTCAGGATGGGGAATTCAGGCCCTTCTCCCCACTCAGTCCCACGGGATGAATGAGATAAAGGCTGTGGCTGCGTATTGTAACCCACACAGCATCAAGTGTGTGGCATGGGCCATCATGGAAGGTCCCTGCCCAAGATCCCAGAGGCCATTTTTGGTTCCTTCAGGATTCTTTTGTGTGCTGGGAAGGCTGAGACTAGGCATGGCAGATGCGAGTCCTCCTCGTCTCCCTACCCAGCATCCTCTGGCCCTCTTGGGTGTCCTCTTCCAGGCCCCTGTCTCCTGCCCACCTGCTTAATCAACTGCACACCTGCATATATGGCCTTCCCTTCACTCCAGGCCCCCTCCAGTTCAGCCTCCAGTTTTTGTATCCTCTGCTTCAGCTGGTCTTCAGAAGCCTTGGCTTGGCAGGCCTCATCCCTCCACAGAGCTGTGAACAGTCCCAGAGCAGCCCTCAGGACTGGCTGGGGACCCCACTAAATGAGCCCCGATGGCCTTGATGGACTCTGCCCACCTTTGGAAACCTGGTAGGAGGCTGCCAGTCTCTCATTGTCTTTCTGGTGTTTGTTTTTTCCCCCCTACAATCCTACAGGCTCTTCGTTACTAAGAACCACAAACTCCCTCTGTGTTCTGGCTATGAAAAATAGCTGCCTTGGGACTTCCCTGGCAGTCCAGCGACTGGGACTCCATGTTTCTACCGCAGGGGGTGAGGGTTCGATCCCGGGTCGGGGAACCCTCATTCCACGTGGTGTGGACAAAAAATTAAGAAAAATATAGCTGCCTTTATCAGCCCTTACTGCCCACCGTTTCCTCACAACCCTAACTCTTGACAATCTTTTTCCACTAGGGGATGGTTAGAGATCAACTCAGCCCTCTACCATAGCTCCAACCCTTTAAGCTCCCAGGAGTACAGAAATACCCATTGTCCCACCTCTATTGCCCCCGGAACTTCCACCCTTCTTACCCAAGTGGTCTTGGAGCAGCTCCTTTTCCAGCAGTGCCAGCCTGTGCATGGATTCAGTCTCCACATCTGCCCTGGCAAGATGGCAGAGCCTCAGCTTGTCAGGATCTCAGCCTTACCTACTCCCCTCCCATCCTCATCCCACACCCTGGACTTTTTTTTTGCAGGAGATCTCAGGACCACTAAATGAGGGATCTCTGATGGCAAAGTCTAATGAGTTCACTGCCCAGCACATAGCAGGTACTCAAAAGATGTGTAATGAATACATAAGGAAGGCACAGAGCCAGAGGGGGCTCAGATGGGCATGGGTGCTGATTTCCCCACTTCCCCAGCTCCATGGAATCTGGATGCAGATATGAATGAGGAGCATCAAGACAGCTCCGTCTTATCAGGCAGATGGCTGAATTCTCTCTGGAGGACCTCTGCTCGGTCTCTGAGCCAGAACGTGAAGAGGCAGGGGGCACCCACCTCCACCCAGCCTGACTCACCAACAGCTGCATTCCTTTTCTTCTTCTGTGTCCCAGCTTTTGTCCCTTTTTCTTTGGTCTTAGGTCGTACTTCCTTGCTGTCCTGGGGGAGAGAGGGGACTTGTATTTAGGTCTGGACATGGAGATGCTTTCCTGACCCCTAGACTGAACCAGGAGTCCCAGGAGAATTAGTGTTCTAGTCTCCAACTCTGTCTCTTATACTTTTCAGAAGCTTCTGTTCTTGGTTTCCTTGGAAACTTAGGCAAGGCTGAGGCCACTGGGAAGGATGGAGTTGTTTCTCTCTATCGGTCAGGTTCTAAGTACAGAAATCATTCCTCTCAATCCTCTTTCAGAGAAAACAAAGCTCAGTACCTGGTCCCTTCCCTCTTCCCATCATCCTTACCCTGCCTCTTCCTTTCTGCAAGACCCTCTCTTGCCTCTGTTGTGTCTCCCTGTGGTGTGACCCACTCACGAGGAGGGGCAGAGAAAAGGCCCAACGATCTAGGAGCCAGAGGAGGAGACTGGGTGCTGGGAACCAATCCAGAGTGGCAAATTTCTGTCGGGGGCGGGACTGAGAACTGGAAGGTTGGGTTTCTGGAGGCTGCATGTTGTCCGGGCAACTGGGAAACATGGTGTTCATAGGAAGGTAGAAGGGACTAAATACAAAGCTTAAAATACCAAGGTCTCAGAGGGCCAATACTCTCCTTATCCCCAAATCCTAAGTGTAGTTTGAGGAGAAAGGGCTTTGGAGCCGATCATATGATTCACTTCTCTGTAGCACAGTCTGCAATTTGGAGACTTACAAATTACAGATTTACACATCTGAAATAAGGCTGTTGTGCTGACACAGAGGAAAAGGACTGACAGTAGCCCTTTTGGGCAATTTACACATCCCAAGGTCTCATCAGCAAAATGACATTATTAGGTTTAAAATGGAAGCTCTCCTTCGGGAAGGCACTCGGTGGTGTATGAAGGAAAGAAGTGCAGAAGAAGGTGGTTGAGAGAGTTTCCCCTTTCAGAGAAATGAGGCGCAAAGGAGAGGTAGACCCAGGACCCCAGGGTGTTGACATAGAGAGATGCAAATGGAGAAGAAAGGGCACTGGTTAGAGACAGGAGCTGTGAGTTCTTATCCCCTCCGTCCGGATATGTAAACTTGAGCAAGCCATTTAAACTTGCTCAGTCTCAGTTTCCTGGTCTTTAAATATTTGATTTTGGGGAATTCCCTGGCTGTCCAGTGGTTAGGACTCTGCGCTTCCACTGCAAGGGGCACAGGTTCGATCCCTGGTTGGGGAAATAAGATCCTGCAAGCCACAGCGTGCGGCCAAAAAATAAAAAAGAAATCTTTGATTTTGTAAATCTTGAAAGGCCTGGATTTTCCCTGGGTATTTACAGGACTATCTTCTCTCATTGTGACTTAATGTATTGCCTCTTTTGCCGTATTCCTGTCTGTGGTTGACTTTCAGACAGGTGCTGAGAAAATACCTTGCTTGGCTCTCTGCAGTACTGAGTTGGTTGGGGCTCCCTCTAGTGGACTTACTTGACCTTCTACTGAGTCTTTTTTTTTTTTTTTTTTTTTCGGTACGCGGGCCTCTCCCTGTTGTGGCCTCTCCCGTTGCGGAGCACAGGCTCCAGACGCGCAGGCTCAGCGGCCATGGCTCACGGGCCCAGCCGCTCCGCGGCATGTGGGATCTGCCCGGACCGGGGCACGACCCCGTGTCCCCTGCATTGGCAGGCGGACTCCCAACCACTGCGCCACCAGGGAAGCCCTCCTGCGTTTTTCTATTTAAATTATTTACTGAGCAATGTTGGGGGGGGTGTCCCCCACTTAGGGATGCTTCTTGCTGGAGTCATGAAGAGTTGGAAAAATAAATCTGGGGAAGGGACAATGATGAGTGGTTCGCCATGGTCAGCAGCCCTCGTCCCCCACCCCCTCTCTCCAGCCCTGTGCTATTGGGAGCCTTGTTGTCTGTCTGTCACTGGGATCTCTGGACACCATACTGGCTAGAATGAAAACAGCAGAAACTTCAGGGCTTTTCCCCTTGCGGATTAAGGGAACTGCAGACTCTTTCTTTAGATATTTCTATCTCTGTCTTCCTCAACATTTTTTGGTCATTTTTGGTCAATTGCCTGTTGTCAGGAACAGATCTGAAGAAATAGCCATGAGATCTGGGGGAAAAAATCCTTCCTCTAGGGAGCAGGCAGATTCAGGCAGAGGCTGATGATATTTATTTGTCACCTTCGTGGCTGCAGGGTACCTCTCTGACCCCGGGGACATTTTACAGAGTAAAGAGAAGAAGCAGCCTTGTCCTTCCTGTTGCTTTACTGTTCCTGTACCTCAGTGTCAGATAACCTTGGGCACATCTCCCAAATCGGAGATTTTTCTTCTAATCTTGAAGCATGTTTTTCATTTATTCCCCCCCTCCCCCACAAAACCCTGAGTAGGAATGCAGTAGAGGTTCCTGTCCTGGTCCTTCCCTTCATCCAGAAGGCTGTTTGAGGACTTTTGAATAGAATAATTAGTGTCTCTGTTGTGCTGATGCACGGAGTCCCATATTGAGGACAGAAATTACAGAGTATAAACAACATATCGTGTCTCAGAAAAGCATTTACTTTTCAAATATATTCAGTCAACCGACTTTCAGGTGCAGAGAGGATGTGGTTTGGGGCGAAGGTGAAATGGAATAAGAAAATTGCCACAGGTCACATGATGTGATACAAACTGAGCCAGCTCTAGAATAATCCAGGAATGAGAATGACATTGTGATCAACAATTCAATCTCCAGCACATTATGAAAACAAGCCAAGTGAAAATTGTGAAAGAAAGGCCAATCTTTCTTTCTTGCTTCATTAACCTCAGTTCATAAGTGAAAACAGGAACAATCATTTCAGCACAACTCTGTCTTCCTTTGAATAGGATCCCTTCTGGGGCTTTTAAAGAGATACAGAGGAGAGAAGCGTCACCCTCTCTACTACATTCAAATGTGAGACAAATATAGGTCATCATATATTAAAAGAAATATGGGGCTTCCCTGGTGGCACAGTGGTTAAGAATCTGCCTTCCAAAGCAGGGGACACGGGTTCAAGCCCTGGTCCAGGAAGATCCCACATGCCGCGGAGCAACTAAGCCAGTGCGCCACAACTACTGAGCCTGCGCTCTAGTGCCCGCGAGTCACAACTGCTGAGCCCACGTGCCACAGCTACTGAAGTCCACGTGCCTAGAGCCCGTGCTCCGCAACAAGAGAAGCCACCACAATGAGAAGCCCGCACACCACAACGAAGAGTAGCACCTGCTCGCCCCATCTAAAGTCCGTGCGCAACAACAAAGACCCAATGCAGCCAAAAATAAATAAATAGATAAATAAAAAAAAAAAAAGAAATATGGCTTACTAGGGCAGAAACAGAGTGCAAATTTTACAATTCCATTCTATACATACCATACTGAACATAATGCAAATTGGAAGCCTTAAACCAAGTCAGAGATGTACAATGATGATGTACATTGTGAAGATGACCTACAAGCTCATACACAGCTCCAAGGGTTAATTTCTTAACCTATATTCCATAAAATCTAGGATTGACTACGAGGGGAAAAAGTACCCTTGCATGTCTATAGTGTGCTAGGTACTGTGGAAGACCAAAGTCGATAAGACAATATAGCATAAATTAATGTGTGGCAGGTGAGAAATAGATGGTTATGGAAATTTAGAGGAGGACTGTCTGGTAAGGAGGACAATATTTGAGTTGAGTATAAAAAATGGATTGGACTTTAGTAGCACTCTTCAGGCAGAGGGAATGCTCTGAGTAATAGTGATGAAAAAAGAAAGAATTGTGGTGTTTTGTGAGTTGGTGAGTCACCCAGCATGGGATATATGCACTGGAGTAGTATACAACTGCAAGGTAGTTTGGAGTTAGATCATAACCTTTAATTTCATTCAGGAGGCAATGGGGAGTGCTTAAAGTGTTTTGTTTTGTTTTGTTTCGTTTTATGCTGTCAGACCTATACGTTATGAACACTGGTCTGGTGGCAGCATGGATTGGAGGTGGCAGAGAAATCAGTGAGGAAAAGGTTTCAATAGACCAAGGGAGAGGAAAGGAGAGCCTGCAACTAAGGGTGGATGCACTAGGGATGGGAAGTTTTGACAATTATCTAAGAGCTTTGCCTATATGTTTTCTTTAGACATTTTAACTCTTTATAGGTAGGAATTGACTAATGGAAATTCTACTGATAGGAAATGATAATTTTGACTCCGCAATCAATCTTAGATACAGGGCTTCCCTGGTGGCGCAGTGCTTGAGAGTCCGCCTGCCGATGCAGGAGACGCGGGTTCGTGCCCCGTTTCGGGAAGATCCCACATGCCGCGGAGCGGCTGGGCCCGTGAGCCATGGCCACTGAGCCTGCGCGTCCGGAGCCTGTGCTCCGCAAATGGGAGAGGCCACAACAGTGAGAGGCCCGCATAACACAAGAAAAAAAAAAAAAAAAAAAAAAAAAAAAAAAATCTTAGATACAGGCCATTGAATTGCAGACAAGGATATTTTTTCCCCTCTTACAGGACTGTTTGATAAGCTTAATTCCCTAATCAGTCAAGAGCTTTGTAGCAGAGCCAGGTGGGGAATCTAAGGCGGAAGTGAGTACTTATTGAGACACCAGGGCCTGCATGCTCCCAAAGCTGAGGCTCAGAATTAGCAAATTGGGGCAGGGCACTTCCTTCTGTGGGAGAGAGGTTCTTTTTTTCAAAGTTCTTCCAGCGGAACTTTGAGACTAGAAAAGTGGAAGTGACTGGGAACTGCATTGCTGTTCCCTGGGAAGAGCGAGGACTCCTCAGGCCAGGGCTTGAAGCTCAAGGTTTCTGTGGTCAGGGCTTGATGCTGGCAGTGCCCACCGTGGTGCAGTGCGCTAAGCAGGGGAATCTTAAGTACATATTCAATTTCCAGAAAAGGAACTTGTGTTCAAAGCAAAAAAAGGGGGAAGTGTTTTGTTTTCAGAAGGGTCAAAGGGCCTGGAAGAGCTCGAGGCCTAAGTGTCTCAAGCCTTTCTGGGGGTCTAATCAGGATGCAACAATCTGCAGCATTCACATTCCTGTCCTTGGTCCTGACTTAACTAGGAGTTTAAAACACTAAGGAGTGGGGAAAATTTTTTCCTTTTTCTCCCACGGTGTTAAGAAGCAAACAACTTTAAGTTCAATTTCCTCATTTGTCAGGTGTGGGGTAAAGACTTGAAGTTCAGATTCTTTCTATGGCCACCTGTCTTAATTTAAATAGCCCAATGACCGCCTCCAGGAGGGTCATCCCACAACCCACAAGGAACACGGAGGGCTCGGCTTCTGCCTAGTGCGCAGGCTCCACGTTAGACCCCGCCCCGCCCTTTCCCCGCTCCTCCAGCAGGGGGCGCAGCGCGAAGGTTCCGCCTGGGCAGCGCCCTCCCACCTCGCGGTAGGGGCGGGGGAGACGGCGCGGAAACTTGGCCGCAGCTTTCCGGGAGCTGTGGCTCGGAAGGGGGTGGCGCAGGAGGGGTCGCTCCCCAGTCCGGACGCGGCCGCCCGCTCCGCGCGTTCCTCCCTCCCCCGGGCTCGCGCTCTCTGAAGGGGCGCGCCCGCGCGGACCCACGCTCCTGGCGCCGCCCACTCCCCTCCCCGCGACCGCCCCTCCCTCCGCCCGGACGGCCGGCGGCTGTGACGGCGGCGGCCGGGAGAGGCCCCTCCTTCACGCCCTCCTTCTTTCCCTCACTTGCAGCCAAGCGGAGCCGGCGGACGCGGCTGGGCTCCTAACCCTCCCCGGGCTATGGCCGGCAATGTGAAAAAGAGCTCTGGGGCCGGGGGCGGCGGCGGCTCCGGGGGTTCGGGCTCGGGAGGCCTGATCGGGCTCATGAAGGACGCCTTCCAGCCGCACCACCACCACCACCACCACCTCAGCCCCCACCCTCCGGGGACCGTGGACAAGAAGATGGTGGAGAAGTGCTGGAAGCTCATGGACAAGGTGAAAGGCCTGCAGAGGACCCGCGGGAGCAGGGGTGGGCGTGGGCGGAGGGGCCGAGGGACTGGAAGGAAGGGACAGAGGAAGCTGGGGGAGGGGACGGGTCATGCGAGGCTGGGGAGGCGAGGAGCTGGGGTGACGGGGCGCAGGGGTGGGGAATATGGGGGTGGGGAGGAGACCTGGAGGATGGGGGTCGGCGGTGGGGGAAGGGCTGCGGTTGGGAGTGAGGGAACGTTGAGATGTGTGTTTGGGGTTGCGAGACAAAGATGGGGTGGCGGCTGGGGTGAAGGGTAACTGGGGAGCCACCAGGGAGGAAGTATAATGGGGGTGCAGAGTTTGCGGCTCTGTGCAGGGTGTAGGGATGTGGGTCACGGAATTGGCCCCGGGAAATAGGAGGGAGGGGGTGAGGAAGAGCGCTTGATTTACCGGCTGGGACTGTTAGCTGGATGAGCTCTGACTAGGGAATTAGGTTTACGGGCTCTGGTTGAGAGACCTGGGGTCCTGACAACTCCGCAGGCAAACTGCGCTCTAGGTGAGCCTATAGTTTTTGTTTCTGTTTTTTCTTCTCATTAAGATGCAACACCAAGAGAAAATAAATGGGGGGTGTTTCAATGAGCCAAGGAAGGAACTTTCCTCCACATCTAGCGCTGGCTCAAGTTTTTCTCCAAAACATTGAATGGGATCCATTGCTGGTGCTGAGATAGATATGCACTGATTAAACCACAAGTTCTGGTCATAACCATTATTTTAGGAGAGATATGTTGACTGAGCGGGTTAGGCAGCAGATTCTGACGTCTTCCAGAACTTCCTCCTTACACACACACTGCTTTTCGTTGGGTTCTACTGTTTTTGGTAACAGAACCTGACTCCTTATTACAGAACCTGACTTTAAACTTGTTGGATGAGCTGCTTTGGTTACTTTTTTTTTAGCAAGTGTGAAAAATAACCCCACTTTAAGTTTGGTATTTGAGAGAATTTTACTTCCTTATAGTTGTGTCTGTATAATGAAACACAGTAGTTAGTCCCAAGTATTTAAAAGTGTTTAAACAGCCTAACGGTTTGTTCCAGAGAATTCAATATTTCCTTGCTATTTTTCACATTTATTAATAACTTATGTTTGCAAAATTCATTCTGCAGATGAAAAGTGATTATTAGAAGGATCAGGCATCGATTGTAAGAGAATGGTGTTATTTCCTCCAGAGTAAAATTGTTTTTCTTTGGTGCTTCTCTGGGCCTAGGTTCCTGTTCTGTAAAGTTCTTCATGGATTGTTTTGCACTAGAAACAGCTAATAAAAGTGACTGTGAAGCACTTGGCAAATATAAATGTGCTATATAAATTCTTAATAAGTCCTGTGTATGAGTTAGCACTCCTGTAGTGCATACCAGTGGTTTCAGAAGCTACTTTTTCACTGCTGGTTTTTCTCATGTTAAGTAATTGGTATGGTAATTAATAAACAAGTATTTGTATGTTGATTATATTGGTGTTATAATGCTAATTTCAATATTAGAAATTGTAATAAAACCATTAAAGAAAGTTAGGCATAAAGGAAATTTTAAATGCATTGACACCTTGAAAATGTATATGGAATATATTCAAAATCCGAAGATTGTAGGTTTGCATTTTAGGGATTTAGAGCTAATGACTTAAAAAGTTTCTCCTGGAATGAAAAAACATTTGCATTTCTAATTAGTTTCTCATTGTATCAACATGCGATATATCAAAATCATATTGATTAGAGACCTCTCCTTAAAAATAATAAACTTTTTATCAAACTTTTGAGTCTATGTAACGTAGTCCTTAAAATAAGATTCCCCCTTAAGTCTTTCTCATTCATCTCTTTAAAGAGTGTGTATTATGATTTTTTCTGCAGAATGTTTAATTCACTCAGTTTTGAGTGAATGCTTTTCAGGTTTCGGTAGTTTCAAGGAAAGTAGGCTTCTAGCTTTTCCATTCTAGCGATGGGAAAGGAATGTTTTATTCTTGTGTTGCTTGTTTTGGAAAATGATTTTTAGTACTTTTTGCTCCATATCACATATTACTGGTTGTGCTGAAATGAAAATAGTTCTTTCTGATGTATTAGTCCAGTAGGTTCATACTGCTTTCCAGATTTTCTGACTAATTCTGTAGTGTTGTTAGATTGCACCGTCTCTTTTACTCTTGCTGTTTAGAGCATAGATGTTCTCTTTTTTCACTTTATTGTTGAAAGTCTTAAATGTATCACTAATCCTTCTTGACTTTATGCCATATGATATAAGTGGAGAAGAACTTAGTGTCAGATCTATAGATGTCCCACACATTTATTGAATTTAGCTCTAAGTCACCGTCTCATATCTGTTTTAACCTTGTCGTTGAAGCTAGGTGAATATTATCCCAGCCTATTATTAATCAGTTTATTGGTTTAGCCCTGGGAACTGTCTCCTCTTCTCCAATATTGGATGTATACGGATGGAGAAGTTGGCATAAGTCATGGGTTCTGGTCAACATAGGCCCAATTTACTATTCCATTGCAGAACTTAAACTCATTCTTGGAAAAATGCTTGTGCTAGAATGCTTGCTATTAAACAGAAGACGTGGTCAGCCTCTAGGTTTTTTTTTTTGCCACCTCGGTATATTGTAATTAATATTTGTGAGGATACTAGTATGTGAAGAAAGTGGCTCGTAAGTAAAGAGACAGCAGGGCGGGGGAGTGGAGAAAGCAACCATATAAATTGCCTTGAATGTAAATGTGGATGTATCAAGGTATTTAATTTAGTGAGAGACTCAAAATTCCGGTATGGAGTAGATGGGAGTTGGCAAAGTTTCTGTCACAGGACAGATAGTAAATACTTTTGGCCACATATGCAGTCCTATATCTTTTTTTTTTTTTTTTTTTTTTT